AGTTTTGTATTTATCGTTAAATCCAGGTTACGCCTATGTTAATTTAAAACGCTGATTTAACTCATCTTACATTACCAATTACGTATTTTTACACTGAAATATTTTCGCTTGAGAAAGCAAGGTTTAAATTAAAAAACATGTGTTAATTGTTTCATTCTCATTTTTTTGCAGCAGACTGACTTTATCCCTGATGCTTGAAGCACAGATGAAACAAGAAGGACTATGAAGCAAAAAAATACGTAACTATTTATTCAGAGGTAAAAAAACAGATATAGCGCATTTCTTTCAATAATATTTCCAGTCGGAGCCAAGGTTCAAACGCCAAAATTAAAGATTGAAAAGTAGGTATTTCGTGATTTCTGTCGGTTCAATTTATGTTAACGGCCGTTTATGTTGAAAAAACCCTAAAAAAATACGGGCGCTCATACTTCGCATGCATCATTTTCCTTATTCATTCTGTAAGTAGCATCCGTCCAAATGTGGCGAATTTTCCCGCCAAAAGACTTACAAAAAAATACGGCGCCCAAAATACGCATGCGCCAATTTTTTTTTTTTTTTAATACATTGCTAATAAACTGAACGTTTACTGTTGTCTTCTTGTATACTGGTACTTAAGTCAATAAAGTGAAGTGACAAGTTTGTCTCATCTCATTTTTATTATCTTTCAATATATTCTCAATAAACAACAAAAGTTTTATATTCAAAGTATTTTATTTGTTTTAAGTTCTCTTCAACCACAAGTCAATTGATTAAGTACTTTTCGATTAATTTATGAAAAGGTATCAACAAAAATTGATGTAATATATACTAAGACTTTTGGCGGGAAAATTTGGACCAATTTGCATAGAGTTTTCCCCTGCAACTTTTTTTGGCAAAAATTTGAACAACGCTTCTTGAAAAAATGCCCGCCAAAAAATAATTAAAAAGCATCTCATGCAAAAAATAGTCGAATCTTCTCTTTCACTCTCAAAAAGAAAAAAAAATCAAAACCACCTAGAAAGTTCCGTTTCAATTTTTTTAAGACTTAATTTCCTTGCACGAGATGTGTTGAAGTTCCAAACGAAAGAGCATCACGGTTAACTATGAAGTGTCTAATCACAAACATGAAATTTATCTCCAAAATTGTGAAAAATCTTTTTGATTCACAGGTTGTTTTTAAATCCAATAATTATTTTCTTCTGTAAGCCTTTTGCCATGATGCCTTTTTTCGGAGTAAAAGATCTTTCAAGCCACCAGTTTCGAATGTAACACAGGTTACAGGATTTAAAAGCACTTACAACAATTTATCCAAGACAATCAGCTAGATTTCCAAATTATTATTTTTGAATAAATTTGGATGGAAAAAATATGTTATTGGAGCATACCATTTCAATTTTTAGCCATAAGAGCTGACACATGTAACAATAAGACTCCAAATTTTTTAAAACTTCCCCAAGCTTTCGAGAAAATGAAATCACTTTAATAGCGAAGACATTTCATCGTTAGAGTCTAAATTCTATTGGATTCACGAGCGAATTTGACAGAATAGCATTCAATAAGAAGTTGGAGCGAATTCTTTCAATTTGATGAAAAGCTGAGATATGTTACAATTATAGGCTCCAAACCATAGCTCAAATTATGAGTAAACCTTTTTAAATTTGATTTTTGTCTCCAAGTTATGAACGATGGATTCTAACTTACAAAAGATTTGTAGTCGTCAAGTTCTGTTTTATTATAGACTAAATTTGAAAATCAAAGTGATCATTTGTTTCTGTATTCCTGTGTTACACTGAGTGACTGCCCAAAAAATATTCCTTCCACATAAAATAAACAAGGAGTAAATAAACTAGCTACGATATGTTTTAAAACTAGATGCCTGGCCCAGAGGGTAACAAGTGGCTTATTTTTCGAAAATTCTTTGCTGAAAATTCTACAAGTTCTGATGAATATGGATTAACAACTGCAGCCAATTATAGGCTGCTACGTCACAGAATTGGTGCAGAATTCTGTTTGCACGTTCAGCCAGATAATCAAGAATAAAGCTTAATGAAAGGCATCGTTAGTGACGGATTGGCGTGTGGGAAGAGGAAAAATTTACAACTACTAAATTTTACGAATTATTGTTTTGACCTTTGCAAAAAGCTCATTTCAAAGATTATTATTATTAAAAGCAACAGATATATGTAATGAATAAAGAAATATTTATGGAGTCAATTTGAAATTCGTGAATAAATGAACAATTGTTTGTTTTTCTCTTACGATGGAGGCGTTACAAAAATGATGACTACGCAATATAATTTACAGGTGAAGTAAAAAAACACTAAGAAATTAACGCATTTTTCCTCTCTCATGACCTAAAAAAAAATTACAAATACACAAAATAAATGAAAAGCACCATCACTTGAGGAGATAGCAACTTGGGTTCTGAGTTCTTTATTGACTAGGTGATTAGCCACATCGCGCATCCAGCTATAATGCAATAGCTTTAAGAATCAAGAATGATAAGAGTAAAAGAATTGGTAAAATAGATTTGAATGGTGGTGGAGGAAGAAGTTTATTCGACTCGTCTCGAGCGTGGGAAAGAGGAAAAGAAAAAGTGTGTCCCCAAGAGGACTTGAACGTCAAACCTCCGGATTTCGCGCTCTGTTGCTCTACCACTGAGCTACAGAGACTCCGCTACGAAGTCCATTTGTGACACGTCCTGTACAAAGCTACAATAAGCAATGTCTAAAGCGTCATACGAGTGAAAAGAATAAGACAGAGACAAGACGAATATAAATCTTTTTCTATCACTTTACCGAGCTCGCAAAATAACATCTTTCGTACTTGAAATGTTGTTCGAAGTTCTCAGTCAACCCTAAAAAGAGCGATGTGTTGCCCTAACCCATGCCCAGTTCAAGAAAAATGTTTCTCGAAGTTGTCTCGTCGAAAGCGGCGAATCATAGCACACTAGCATGTGGAACGTTGTCATTTCTTGTGTTTTTCAAGCGAGCAGAAGAAAGAGCAACAAAGGAGAGCACAACGATTCAGTCCTCTTGACCAGACTAATGTTATCCTGTTCTTCTACATTGTCAAATCTTACGTCACGGTTGTGGTTGTACTACATTTAGGCCCTGCAGTTTCATCGTCGTTTAAGTCAAAGGGCTTATCGCTAAAGACAGAAAAATATATTTGCTAAACCTGGTTTTCATTAGCGATGCAGGCACAAGCCAATCACGCATTTTTTTTCATCCCGCTGTGATAACGCAACTTCAACGAAAGTACAAGCATAACCTCTGCATGTTAGGATGAAAAAAGTTTAAATAAGGACTTTATTTATCCGATCATTTTGCTCTTTGAACAAGGATCACCAATACTTCTTCTATCAGTTGAGCCGTAGGACTAATCATTGTACCTACGCCTGGATTTTTTCCCCTTTGCTTGTGTCGAAAGTGAATATCAGGCGAGCCTACGCCGCATCCCTCGGTCTTCGATCTTCCTGATAAATCTTCCTTCTTGCGGCTATGTAATTACATGTAAACCAGTTGTGAAAATTTGGGAAATTATACTCTTTAAGATGAGAAGATTATCTGTTCGCCTTACCCTTTCGCTGGATTATGATTGATAGTGGGAGGGAAAATTTCCTGTTTATTACCTCAACTGAGTTTAGCTAGGAAGGGAATGAGACTTCACTTCGCAGGTTATTCAATTCAACTGATAAATGATAATAATTCCTTCCTGAAAACACGATAAGGGTTCGTGAATAAATAAGTAAATGAATAATTAGTTGCATGAAAAATAATTGTAAAATAAGGATTAAAAGTCTACATACGAACATAAAATATACATCTGCAATATAAGATCCTGTCTGATTAATGTTCAGGGCCCAGTTGTATAAAGGGCGGATAACGTTATCCAACAGATAAATCGCTATCCAGCGGATAAGTGATAGCAAAACGTACAGCGTTATCCACCACATAGAGATTTATCCAGTGGATAGCGCTGCCCAACCTTCCAAAAACCGGAGCCAGATCTAAAATTCATAATTTATTTAGTTGATAACATTATTTAGCTAGAAGTCTCTTATATGGAGTAAATGAGAAAAGTCGATGACCCTAATAAAGGTAGGTTTTTTAATCTTTCTGGAGAAACTTTTCACACTGTTCATCTTCCGACCCTTAATCAGCAGGTGATTCCAACAAATTGAACGTCTGTAAGATATGGAAATTTTTTGGGAATTGGATTTGAATAGTGGAATTTCTATCTTAGGGCTATTTCTTAGATAATAAGAGAGGTGAAATTTTTACAATATACAATATGTGCTCTCATTCAGGGTGGTGATTCGTTGTTAATTTTAGGAAAGATTGCTTATAGTAAGTTCTTAAAGCGTCCCATTTAGCCCTGTCAAGGACTTCCACTGATGGTATAACCTGGAGAAAGTTGGAGATAATTCTTGCTGCTCTGCAGTGTAGTCTTTTAAGTGAGTCTAAATCGTCTTACCGAATGGTACCTCCCCATACGGATATAGCGTAAGCGACTGCAGGAATTATAACTTTGAAGTAAAGATTTAAAAAATCTTGTTAAAAAATAAAAATGGGTAAAAATCTGCTCTTCTTTATAAGACTTAGATTACTGACAAAGCTCTTCAGTAGTCCCTTAATATGATTGGACCACCCCAGCTTGTCATCGATATCCACACCCAGGAGTCCACCTTGTGTTATCCATTCTTAATTATTGCCTCCGAGGTATATGTGTGCGAAGGGGACGGTAAACGATCCTCTGTAAATTAGCATGCATTCCGATTTCTCTAGGGATGGTGTTAGATTGTTCTTCGTGCACCAGGCATATCACACTTTTAGGGAAAGAGCAATTGCGTAAACCTTTCCCCGCTAATATACAGCAGTACCCCGCAAACTCGAACTCCCAAGATAAACGAAAAATTGGCTGTGATTGGCGGGGGTTCCAGTTATCGGGATTGGCGTTGAATTTCAATCATTTGTCAATAATTTTATTAATAATTCTATCAATAATGGTATCAATAACTTTATTAACAATTTTTTCAGTAATTTTAACTAAAATGGCTAATTATTAAAGTAATGAATTCTGACACAATCAACAGTAATTTTCGTTTCAATCAGCTGTGTTCTGACACTCTGACGTTTATCGGCCGACGGCCGTCTTACTTTAATTCGAGTCATCAGGGTAAATTCGATCCATGGGAAAGTCATGTTAGTTCGAGTTAACGAAGAGTTCCAGTTAGCTGATAGTAAATGACTGGAAAAATTTGGTTAAACCCAGGAAAAATTGAATCCTGTTAGAGTTAGCGATTCGAGTTAACTTACAATGATGCGACAAGAAATTAAAAGCTAACAGTAATTAGCGGCACTCTGACAATCCCACAAAGCCATATTTGACTTACGTTATCTATTTTATCAATTCGGTATGTATGGTCTGCATAGGAAATATTTAACAGGATATATATTGAAAATGGCACCCGTTTAGCCTCTTAAATTACTATGTTATAACCACATTTGGATAAATATGTAGTTTTATGCATAAAATTTAATTTTTGTAGTGTAGAATTGCATTTCTTGATCACTAATTTTCTTTTTCCTGACCGTAACTGAATCAATTAGTGTTGGAACTAAAAGCATTTCCTTCCATTAAAGCAAACATCTGCATCCTTTCCAAAAAAAAAGTATTAGCAGCACGCACTTATGGCCCACAATTTAATCCTGCATAGGTTTCGCCAACTCTTGTGAAGTTGAGAAACTGTAACCATCACTAAGAACGCTTTGCCGCCGATGATTCGCTCGAAAAGTGACCATGACTTGCGAGCAGCATTATAAATATGATATGATCCACAAGCTGATTAAAAGCTTGAGCTATTGAAAACAGAACTCGTTTGAGATCCTTTCAATCTCTAAGAAATCCCACTGAAGTCTTTTGCAGAAATTTTTTGATAAAAAAAAAATCCTCTTACCTGTCCGTTAAGGGTAAATTTCGACTATACTACTTCCTTTTCTTCGTCTGTTCTTGGTTCCGATATGCATAAAAGCCACTTGTCTGTTTTGGCTAGCTGGGTAATTTTTGCCAACTTTCACTAAAAATAAATATAAATTTTGGAAGTACATTTGGAACTCGATCCTCGGTTAATGAATAAGGTAGATGCTTTCCTCTGCAAAAATTGTAATTTGGTATAAACAAAACTGCCTTTAATTTGTATTATTCCGTGAGCTTCCGTGTACTTCCGAGGAGGATATTAGCTGTCATTTTTGTGTACACAAAAATGTTTTTTTAGGTTAGTTAATGCCTTTTTTCCAATCATTACGTCCATTTGATGAATTTAAATTGGAGAAAGTATTGGTTTCGCTGGGAAACTTCGTCTTAGTAAAGAACTATTATCAGTCAGTGCCAGATGAACAACCTGGATTTGAGACCAAGAAGAAAGTTGACTAAGGTAAAATAGCTTTGCTCCTCACAATGGATGTCACTTTGACTCTACCACCTCGCTCGAAATTTGTACTCATTTTGGAATCAAGTGTAGCCGTCATTTTCATGTTACTGTCACTGATTGGAAACTTTACAGTATGCTTGGCAATTTTTCGTAAAAGGCTTTTGAGAACGGTACCGAACTATCTCCTGTTGAACCTGGCCACTGCAGACATTCTCAGTGCCGTTATCAGCTTCCCTCTGCTAGTCTCTGTCCTTATCAGTGGTAAGTGGATGTTTTCTAGAAGCGTTTGCCAAATCCAGGCTTTTCAAAGCTATGTCTCGTACTCTTGCAGTCTCTTGACTCTTACCGTTACTAGCATTACAAGATATTACGCAACTGTTCACCCAGTCAAACACAGAGGAGTATTTAAAGTGAAAAAAGTTTTAGTATTGATCTCTATCGTTTGGACCGCATCATGTGCGTTTGCCGCGATGCCACTCCTCGGGTTGGGACGATATCAGTTTGAGGCTTTTTACGCTATCTGCATTCATGACCACAACGCCAGTTCATCGTACAACATGTTTTCGTTCACCTTTTTGATAGTGAACTCAACAGTAATTGTGACTTGTTATTCAAGAATATTTAAAGCCATGAAAACAAGAAAGCGCAGAATCCATCATTTGTTTGCCCAAGGTTCGACATCGAGGCAGTTGGAGATGATAAACGCGCAAGAAGCAAAACTGACCAACACAATCTTCATCGTGATATGTCTATTTACTCTATGCTATATTCCAACAATAGTGCTAGGATTTTTAATGTTTGTGACCGTGAATGTTCCGCGCTTTGCCCGAATGCTGTCAACATTTTCAGTGGGATTCACATCCGTGGTAAATCCAGTTATCTATTGGGTGCGCAGTAAAGCTTTTCGCGAAGCTCTTGTCGGGATTTTTAGAAAAAACAGTTTCGAGAGAAATTCACTTCGAATCGACGTGGGCGAGCTTACTAGATGTTCCAATCCAGTAGAGCTTGTTAATGTTTCAAGAGGAGATGATGGAACCGTGAAGAAAAGGAAAACTACAATTACTTCACCAGAGGTTATAGTACATGTCTGATTAAGCTATCCATACGGAGCCAAACGAACATAACATTTTTAAATTGATGGACAGGCCATCATTAAACGGGTATTTTGGTATTAAGGCAAAGCAAAGTGATGAAAAGCACTATAAAAACAAAAAAATATATTACACAATAAATTCAGTTAAATGTCAGAACGGATCGTCCCTGTCGAAGGCTAGATGAAACCATAACGAAACATAAATATGGAGAGGGCTGCCACTTGACGATGCTCTGGTTGCACCTGTCTAAATAACAGTTTTGATGGGTATAGAAAATATATTCAGAAATTGTAATGTATAGAATTGCCTATAGATGAGCTCGAAATGACTTTAAATTTTCAGTGTTCAATTTATTCAACTCTTAAATTGTTTTCATATTGGAAATATTACTGAAACTATTTTTCATGTTTTTTTTTGGTGCTACTTGTACCTATTGCGGTCTTTTGGCCAAAAGCAGTCACTACCATGGAGACCTTACAACGTTTTGTTCTGCCGCCAAGAAGCGGAAACGAATGACTGTGACTATGCTCTTTCATTTTCTTGTTGTTGTTATTGTTTTTTCATCCTAGTCGCTCATTATTAAAAATTATTTTCCAGCTCCAATTTTACCGACAAAATGCGTTGAGAGTAAACGGTCTAATAAAGTCAAGAGTCTACAGAAGTATACCGACATAAAAAGCGACCTTGACAAAAATTGAAGAAAATATGAAATACTTCTTACTTTCTACTGACTCTTACTAATGAACTGCATTTCATAATCCTTGAGCTCAGTGCCATTCTTATTCATCAAACTAGAAACTAAACAGAAGTGTTTAATTTTAAAACACATGTTTACGTAACTAATGATCATCGGTAACTGAATGGGTGAGACAGATGGAAGTAAGAGGTTTTTTTATTTTCATTTGATAAATGGGGTTTTTACATTCGCAGTTACGAATATATCACCTTTTTTAATGAAAATGGATGGAACTTTCGTTACTTATAATATTGAATTAGTTTTTCTGATCTGACAAGAGCTAAGTGGTTCCTGTTTATGTGCATCTCTTTTTAATATTCCATTCATTGAAGATTTTCAATGAAATACTTTTCGAACTTGTCTTTCACTCTCATCTAGATGCTTTCATGGGCTGATGAATTGAACTCATTTATTCCAATTTATATCACATATGTATAATTTTCATTCATTTTCAGCACAATATCTTTTTATTACCTTTTGAAAGGTCTCTTGAGAGGGTCTTATGGATCCTGAAAGAGCTGTGATGTTAAAATTTAAATCGTTGAACTGCATATGCACGTCAACAGTTTTCCAGCAGAATACTAGTACTTTTCAAGAAACACATTTTGAAGCAAAAGTGGAAAAAGGAGTTCAATTTAATTCAAAGACAAACGAAAAACTAAAATTGTGCAAACTTAAGTTTTTCCTTGCCAGATGGGTCAATTTAATGAGGATTTGTATGTGAGTCATCTTTTAATTACGTTCCCCGTTATGTCGGTACTGTTAACATGGGATCTCCACAGGCCAAATGATCAAAACGAGTCCAGCAAAGTTTTTTCACTCATCACTTTAACTACAAAATGATAAGATTCAAAGGTCTAAAATATTCTACAGTCCGAACCAGGCCTTAAGACTATAATACACCTAGGTAATGATCAGCAGATAGACTGCTTACTGAAATTCCTTGAAATAAAAAATGAACCAAATACTATCAATGAACTTCCCACATTAACGAAAAACAGTTACCACTACAATTGAAAGAACCTTTTACTGCTTATCAGTGTGAGGTGGCTGTTGGATGCAATACTTATTTTGGATTATAATTGACCATTTTTAATTTGAGAAAAGGCCGCCAAGGCAAGATACTATCATTTTTTTTCCTATGATTCAAATAAAGGAGGAGAATTCCACAAAATAGGCATCTAACATGTCTATTAACCTTTAAGACTGGGAAACAAGAAAAAATGATGACGATTTATGACTCAAAAACGCACGAGAACACGAGATAACACTTATGATATCTTAAAAGTAGTACAGAAGATATGCACCATGTTTTGAACTAAAACATCGACCATCAAAGTCACCTTCATCTCTTTCTGTACGAGCGACATAAATTCCGCTTTAATAATCTCAACGACTGTTTCTCATCTTTTTGCCCTACTTTCGATTCTCATATATTTGTCACGGATTAAAGCCATAACTCTTACGATTCCAACAATTCATAGAAAATGGCGATTTGAAACGCATTTAACAAATATATAGCCATAGCTCCTTTAAGCAACATAATACCCTTCGAAAAAGAACAAAGTTTTGCATTTTCATTAACCTAAAGCCCCTTATTAGATAGCTTGAAGAATTACCAAAGATTACTGGTCAGGAGTGACACTCAACTACACGTCACGCCATCATGTCACGTAACACTCCCTTGCCAGAGCACACCGCTGCGCGATCATTGCGACAAAGATCACATCCTTATGTAGACTACAACCGTTTGCTTTTACATTCCCTCAAAGTTCATTGCATCTTGAACAGGCAATGAGTTAAATAAGCTAAATTAAAGCTGTTAACTCGTTATGAGTTCCCAGGTGATATCATTCCGTTTTAAAATTCACTTGACTCACTGGAACTTAACTTAGGTACCAATTTATTCGTGAGACATCCATACGTATATGCTGCAGTTCACACTGGTTGCGCTATTGTTTTAGAGTTTACTCTCGGGTGCAAATGCGTACTTGTCATAGTGTGGACGCAAATTAATCATGTATGGAGCTGTGACCCTCGGTTCAACAAAACGGATGTTCTCCGTAGGAATAACTTCACCACCATCTGCTTCTTCTTCAGCTTTACGACACTAAAACAGATAAGTATATTTTGTTATGTCACACTAAAAGCCACTTCGCAATCATAATTTATCGCGGGAGGGGGGGGGGGG